CCGGTCCCCCCCCGCTAGACCCCATCCCCCCTCAGGGTCCTGCCCCCTCAGGTGTGTTCCAGGTAGATGTAGTCGAGCCTGTCGAGGTAGCTGTTGACTCTGGTGCTTCTGGGGGTGCTGAGCCTGAGCGTGCGGAGCCTGGAGGTGCTGGGCCTGGGGGTACTGAGCCTGAGAGTGCGGTGCCTGGGGGTGCTGGGTCTTGGGGTGCTGAGCCTGAGCGTGCGGAGCCTGGGGGTGCTGGGTTTGGGGGTGCTGAGCAAGGGGTTGCTGAGAGTGGGGGTGCGGTACCTGCCGGTGCTGGACCTGGAGGTCCTTCGAGTACTTTGTCCCGGCGGGAGCTACCCTCTCCACAGGAGCTGCGCGAGTGGTTTGCTCGGCGCTGGAGCCGTGCTGCTGGAGCTAGAGGTTCTGCTTCTGCTGGGGGTGCTGGAGCCACGGGTCCCGGAGGTGCTCGTACTGGAGGTACTGGAGCTGCTGGGCCTGGTGGTGCTACTGGTGCTGGAGCTACTGGTGGAGCTGGAGCTGGCGGTGCTGCTGGAGTAGGTGCTACTGGAGGTACTGGAGCCGGAGCTGCTGCGTCTGCCGGTGGTCCTCCTGGAGCTGGAGCTGCTGGAGGTACTGGAGCTGGAGGTGCTACTGGAGCCGGTGCTCCTGTGGGTGCTGGAGTTGGCGCTCCTGGAGCTGCTGGAGGTACTACTGGTGCTGGTGGTGCTGCTGGAGTTGGAGCTGACGCTGGGGGTGCTGGTGTTGTCCCTGCTGGTTCTGGAGGTGCTGCACGGCCGCGGCCGTACTTCGTTCCGTTCCTTCAGCAGGTTCTTGGTCTTCCGCCTTCTTCTAGTCCTGCTCCTTCCTTAGAGTGTCCACCGCCTGTCCAGTCCGAGTCACAGTTACAGCTGGCCTCCCCTCTCCCTGCTCCTTCTCCCTACGCTGGTCCTACTGGAGGTCTTGCTGAGCGTCGTGAGCCTGAGTCGCGTCCTGCGTCACCTGTTCGTACTGCTCGCACTAGTCGTCGTGTTCCACGTCAGCGTCCTCCTGCGGTCCCGGGCACGCATCAGATGGCACTGCGTCCTTCCACTGCACCACAGCGTGTCCCTTTGCCGTCTCCTCCAGAGTCCTCTCTTCCTGCTCTTGCTGACCCGGAGTCTGACTCCCTTCGTGCTGCCAGTCCTACTGTCACGCGTTTCCTAGCCACTGCTGTCACTGACCCTTCCTTTGAGTCCGCTGCTGCGTCTGCCTTAGTTGCCGAGCTTGTCGACTTTGCTGCTCACTGTCGTCTAGACTACGCCACTAGTCTTGTTGCTGAGTCTGCGTCTGTCTGTCCTCCGTCCGTCGAGGGTGAGTGTGCTCTTAGCACGGACGTCCTTGAGGACAGGCAGGAGGAGTTCCAGTGTTTTGCTGCTGCTTTACCTCATCTCGTGTCCATGCTGCTTGCCCCTGAGGGAGACCCGGATGCACCAGACATCCCGACCCCGCGCTCTTACGCAGAGGCGATAGAGGGTCCCTACTCCTCTCAGTGGCAGGCAGCCATGGACGCAGAGATGGCTTCCTGGAAGTCCACAGGCACCTACGTCGACGAGGTTCCCCCACCTGGGGCGAACATCGTCAGTGGCATGTGGATTTTCAGGGTGAAGCAGCCGCCGGGTTCTCCGCCTGTCTTCAAGGCGCGTTACGTGGCTCGAGGCTTCAGTCAGCGGCAGGGAGTTGACTACTTTCAGACCTTCTCCGCGACCCCAAAGATGACCACTCTTCGGGTTTGTTCTACTGCACGTCGCTGCTCAGCGTGACTACGAGCTTCACTCCCTTGACTTCAGCACTGCTTTCTTACAGGGCAGCCTGCACGAGGAGATCTGGCTGCGCCGCCCACCTGGCTTCACTGGGTCGTTTCCTCCTGTTACCCAGTGGAGTCTCCGGCGGCCAGTCTACGGTCTCCGCCAGGCGCCCCGTGAGTGGCACGACACACTGAGGACTACGCTTGCGGCTCTTGGGTTTGCTCCTTCTACTGCTGACCCGTCGCTGTTTCTTCGCACCGACACTTTGCTGCCGCCGTTCTACATCCTCGTGTGCGTCGACGACTTGGTGTTTGCTACGGCTGACATTGCTGGACTCGCCCACGTGAAGTCCGAGCTGCAGAAGAGACACACGTGCACAGACCTGGGTGAACTGCGCAGCTATCTTGGCTTGCAGATCACCCGGGACAGAGCACGGCGCACCATTACCCTGACTCAGTCACACATGGTGCAGCAGGTCCTTCAGCGCTTCGACTTCACGTACTCCTCGCCTCAGGCCACTCCTCCGTCTACTCGCCACTCGCTCTCAGCTCTGCCTTCGGATGAGTCCGTAGAGCCGAGTGGCCCGTACCCAGAGCTTGTTGGCTGCCTCATGTACCTGATGACCTGCACTCGACCTGACCTGGCATACCCTCTTAGCATCTTGGCACGCTATGTTGCTCCTGGGAGACACCGACCAGAGCACATGGCTACCGCGAAGAGGGTGTTGCGCTACCTGTGCAGTACGTCGGGCATGGGGCTCGTGCTTGGAGGGCGGAGTCCAGTGGTCCTCACTGGTCACGCAGACGCGTCTTGGGTTGACGACCTGGCTACTCAGCGGTCGTCACAGGGTTACACCTTCAGCCTTGGTTCCGGTTCTGTTTCGTGGCGGTCTACCCGCTCGTCTTCTGTTCTCAGCTCCAGTTGTGAGGCTGAGATCTACGCAGGGGCCATGGCTGCACAGGAGTTACGCTGGCCTACCTACCTGCTGACTGACCTGGGAGAGCCGCCTCGTTCTCCTCCAGTTCTGTACGTAGACAACAAGGCCATGCTGGCCTTGTGTCGGGAGCACAGGCTGGAGCACAGAACGAAGCACATTGCTCTTCGCTACTTCCTTGCTCGTGAGCTACAGCAGCGTGGTCAGTTACGCCTTGCTTACGTGGCCTCTCAGGCCAACACTGCTGATATCTTCACCAAGGCACTTCAGCCTTGTGATGATCAGCGCTTCTGTACTATGTTAGGTCTTGTGCCTACTTGGCCTCACTTGCTTACCTCTTGATTTTACTTGTACTGTGATTTATATGTATATACACCTGCATGTGAACTGGCCTTGTGGCCTTTTGAACCTGTGCTCGGAATGTGTGGTGACGTTGTGATCCACTCTGAGCTTGCTTTGCTTTGCTTTGCTTGACTGGTCTTGTGACCCCTTGTTCTCCCCCACTTTGCCTATGGGGGTGTGTCAAACATTAATCACATAGCCTATCTAGGCTGTAGTGGGGTAGACACTATGGGGTACAGTTTCCTAGGGTTTCATATTTGTACCCAACTCATTTCCTAATCATTCATTCCTGTTTCTTCACAGTAACCGTACAGACGGTTACGCATGTTGCCGTTCCTTGATGGTGAGTCAATCGTCGGTCCACATGGTCAACAGTCCCGACAGTTGACTCTTGCGACTGTTGACCTTCCTGCCCTTGATACGGGCTGATCCGATACTGCTGTTAGCGCTGCTTCGATAATGACGTGTGCGATACAGCTGCACCTATGTGAATACCGAACTTAATTTCCTTCACACTCGAACACTTTGGAACTCCCTGACTGCTCCTTAGGCCGCTGCAGAATCAAGCCTAACCAACATCGTGCAAATAACCTCTGTGCAGTCAAGCTCGCTTGATTTTTTTAATCATTCTGAAGTTCCCTTGGGACTTGCAGAATCAGTTCAATGAATGGTAATTAACACTCTAAGAGTTATTATGGTACATTGGTTCTATATACCAGTCAGAGTTACTTGGCAAAGTGTTCCCATCGCACATCACAACATCAAATCTTGTCTGTGAATCCAAGCAGCATGCAAGCGGTTGATTGGTGGAGCGCCCCTTGTTCGCCCAGGACTTCGGCATGTCATCCGTCGCACGACACCCATCACTCTTAAAGGCGGGGTGCAACTTCTTAGGAACAGTAGGGGGACAAAAATGGCATGTGAGTAACTTGAATTCTATTGGACGAAAAAACTGGAAAACCAGAAGAGGACAAACTTCTCGGCTCTGAACTGCCTGGGTCAACCTCTTCCAAGCTATAATACTTTGAAGTTGAAGTTGATAGTTGGGCCACGGCTTTAACACCTCGCCGAAACTCTCGAAAGGAATCCGCGATGTGCGAGAAACGCTCTGAACGGAATGTGGTACCAGGTAAACTTGTTTTTCGTTGCGGAAATGGGTTTCGCAAACAGCTCTTGCACAAGTCTTGCGTTCACGCTGCATCCAGACTTACGATTTCTGGTCATGCTAGTAAACCAAAGCGATCACTTCGCCTTTGCTCATCTCGAACTAGTTTCTTCGAGGACGTGTTTCCTCTCGCTCTATTACTTGCAGGTCACTCCACCGTCGCTGATCGTCGAGCCAGTTTCAACCGCTCACCTGCGTGGTCATCGAGTTCGTGTTTCGCCTCTCTTCTCTTCCCCTCTCCTCGCCTCTCGTCTCCCCTGCGCCAGTCCTTCTCGCCGAGCTGTTGGAACCACCGTGCTGTCCATCTCGTTTCCGGCCAACATGGTTTCTTGAATCGCCTCCTTCGTAGGGGTACCAGATTCATCGCGTCAACGCGCAGGGCGTGCGACGCTGCCTCCGCGCGCCCTCTCTTCTCTCTTCCAGCATCAATCAGGTTCGTGCAGATGTCGGGCTAGCTCACCTTGTCGGGCTCGCAGGTACTCGTCAGACTAGTAAGGCTCGCTGATTTCGGAGCTTCTTCTTCGGGCCCCGCTGATGTCGGAGTCTGCTTCACAAGCCTCTCTCCCCTCTCGTTTCTCGCACCTCTTCGATTGCTCCCTGCCGCCACCGCCAGTGTGGATGGCCTCAATTGTACTCCTCCTTCCTTTGCATCAGTTAACCCACTTCCCTCCCCTTCGGAATTTCCCCCTCTCCTCCCCTCCCCCCGCCCCTCTGTTCCGCCGCCTCCCCGTCCGCCCTTCTTGTCTCTGCCTTTGATTTTTTTTGGGGGTGTTTTGACAGACAGCCGACCATGAATCCCGCCGCATCGCACCAGTCGTCGCGCTCGTTAGGCGCATCCGCCGCGCCTCTCTACCCCTCGGCGCCACCCATCACCGCATCCGCTCCCCCGGCCTCCGCTGCCTCTTCCACCATCTCTTACCCCGCCCTCCCACCTTCCTCCGCGCGCTTCCCCCCCTCTTCCGGCGACACGTACTCCTCCGCACCTCTGCGCATGCCGTCCCACCACCGTCCCCCGTCCTCCCCCTCCGCCTACTTCCCCCGCTCCCCCTCTTCCGCCTCCGCCTCGTCCTCCTCCATGAGCCTTGCGCGGAACGTCGGGCGCGGCATCTGCGCGTCGTGTCTGGCGGCGTCTCTCTTCGCCGCGCTCGTCTGCACGTCGCTCCCGCTCGCCACGCTCCTCGTTTGGCGGCTCGCGCCAACGCCCTTCGACCAGACCCGCCCGCTCCTCTTCGATTTCCGCCAGCCTGAGCCTTTCGCCGTCGCCTCTTTCCTTCCACGCCCGCACACCCTCCTCCCGCCTCCGCCGCAGCCCCCGGGCTCGTCTTCCGCCCCTGCAGGCTCTCACTCCCCCTCCGCCTCCGCGGGGCGGTTCTTCTCCGCCGCCCCTCCGCGCCTGCTGCAGCGCAACCAGCGTTACGAGGCGATTCTCCGCCTGCGCCTCCCCGAGTCGGACCACAATCTCGAGCTTGGCATGTTCCAGATATCCGCGCACGCGCTTTCCGCCGATTACGCCGTCCTCTCCGCCAACTCCCAGCCCGCCACTCTCCGCTTTCGCAGCCGCCCCATCCGCGCGCTGCGCACGGCGGTGCTCGCGTTCCCGCTCCTCTGGGGCTTTCGCGAGGAGGCGCAGCGGATCGAGCTGCGCGTGCTGCGCGGACTCGAGGGGAAAGCGCCGGTGGCGGCGGTGCGCGTGATGCTTGCGCCCAAGGCGGGCGCGGGGCCAGGCGCGGGGCTTCCGCAGATCTACGACGCGGAGCTGCGCCTGCGCGCGGTTCTGGGGGGCGCGGGGGGGCTGTGGCTGCTGGCGTGGCGGGTGATGCTATTCACTATGTGCGCTGCGGGGATATTCGGCATGCAGGCCATGGTGCTGCTGGTGTGCTGCGGTGGCGTGATGATACGGCTGCTGTGGCAGGGCGGAAGCAAGGAGAGGGACGACGGGAGGGGCGGCGGGAGCATGGGAAGATTTGGAAGGATGGGGAGCATGGGCGAGGTTGCGGGGAGAAGGGATGGCGAGGAGAGAGAGGAGAGAGAGGAGAGAGAGGAGAGAGAGCAGAGAGAGCTGAGAGAGCAGAGAGAGGAGAGGGGCATGAACTTCCTGCTCTCTGCCCGTCCCTCCGCTCCTCTTGCAGCCCCTGCTGCTCCGTCTCCGTCTCCTGCTGTTGCGGCTGCTGCTCCCTATGGCCGGATTTCAGCAGAGGAGGCGTCTGAGGAGGTGCTAAGGCCAGTATTCATGCCGGGGGAAGGGGAGAGAGGCAGGGGGAAGGGCAAGGCGGGCGAGGGGGGCGAGGGGGACGGTGGGGGGATGGATCTTCTGAGAGATGAAGGGGCGATTGCAGGGAGAGTCAGGGCGTGGATGGGGGAAGGTAGCAGCAGCAGCAGCAGCCTCGGCGTCGGCCCTACTACCCCTGTTTCTGCTGCCCCTGCTGCCGCTGCTGCCTCGACGCACGCTCCTCGGTATCCCCCTATTGGCCTTGCACCTGCTGCTGCCCCTCCTCTTGGTCGGCCCCTCGGGGATGTGGGTAGGGAGGGGGCGGAGGGAGGGGGAGCGGGAGTGGGGGTGGGAGGGGGCGTGGGCTTGGGAGTGGGTGAAGGCGGGGAGGATGGGGGGAGTGACGAGGAGATAGAGTCGCTGCTGGCAGCAGGGAAGCAGCTGCTGCAGGCACGGAGCCCGCATGCTGTGGCGGAAGGGGAGGGGCAGGAGGAAGAAGAGGGAGAGGAGGAGGAGGAGGAGGAGGAGGAGGAGGAGGAGGAGGAGGAGGAGGAGGAGGAGGAGGAGGAGGAGGAGGAGGAGGGGGAGGAGCGGGGAGGAGGAGAGGCGTGGAGGCCTGGGCTGAGGCAGAGGCGGGTGGGAGTGGGACGAGTGGGGGGACAATCAGTGGCAGCAGCGCGAGCAGAGGCAGCAGAGGCATTAGGGCCTGTGGGCGGACCCCGTGTGGCAGGGGTGGTGGGCACGGGGGGCGTGGCGGAGGCTGTGAGTGCGTCCCATGCTGCTGCTGACGCTGCGTTTCGATCGGGGGTCGTGGCCGCAGGTGCCGCTGCTGGGAGGGGTGGTGCTGCGATGGGGCTTACAGGGGAGGCTGTGGGGGAGGGGGGAGGGGCGGCATGGGGAACGAGGGGAGTTGGAGAGGTGGGGCGTGGTGGAAGTGAGGAGTGGGAGGAGGAGGAAGAGGAGGAGTATGAAGAAGAGGAGGAAGATGAGAGTGAAGAGGAAGAGGAAGGGAGGAGAGATGAATTGGAGTTGGGAGGAGAGGAGGGGGAGCAGGGAGAGGAGGGGGATGATGGAGAGTGGGAGGATGTGAGAGAGGGTGAAAGTGGAGAGGAGGAGAAAGATGAAGAAGAGGGGGACGAGGGAGAAGAGAGGGAGGAGGAGAGGATGATAGGGAGGGTGGATGCAGCTGCTGCTGCAGCAACAGCTGCAGTGGCAATGGTAGGGCTGGGGCAGGAGAGGAGACAGAAGCAGGGTGAGAAGGAGAAAGACAAAGGAGGGAGTGTGTGGGTTCTAGGGGCTGGAGCAGCGGAGTGGGATGAGGGTGAGAGTGAGCACGGGGAGCCAGGAGGAAAAGAAGAGAAGAGGGTGGTGGGTAGGTAGGGGATGGAAGGGTAAGCTACCGTAGCAGCAGGGATACCGATAAGGGTGCTTGGAGCATGGGTAGGTGTGGTGAGTAGAGGGGCAGAGGGGGCTATGCTGTGATGAGTGGCACTGAACTGCACAAGTTGGAAGCAGGTGTATAGATGTGCTGTACATTTGAGACATACCTATATTCTTCCATACATGCGGTACTCTTCTTCCAAGGCATGTGACGCCGCTAACCAGGCAGGGCTCTCGCTAGGTTTTGGGCCTGTCTGAAGAAGAAAAAAAAAAAAAAAAAAAAAAAAAAAAACACAAGAGGCGATGAAATCGTTTTAGGATTGCGAAGCATTTCTCATATGTACCTTAGGGTTTCTGTTTCTTCCTTCCCTCCCTCCCTTCTCGCCAATGAAGCTTGGTTGTTAACTGAAACGGCCGCTAGTCACGCTCCACCAACCTACCCGTGGTGAGAAGTACGCTGCTTTAACTATACTAAGTTAGATGATTTACGCTAGACTATAAACTCAGTTTGTGGTGGATCGTAACTACCGATGGCCCGTAATATAGCTCGTTAGATGTTGCTGTTAGCTAGAATCTAGACGCCTCAGCCATATTAAATCAGCAGCTAGATCGGTTTTTTTGGGCTGCTAACAGTTAGGTCGTTCTTAGCTAGTGCTTCCTTTTCACTTATTCGATTTTCGTCCGTCTCTCTTGAAGCCATGTCATCATTTCCACATCTAGTAATAACCATGTTCACATTTCCTTGTTAATCCGTTCAATACAGGTGGTTTTCCTTCTTTCTTTCTTTCGTTTTTATCATCTTATGCGTTCTTCCTTTAGGTGGCCTGCTACGTATGCGTCATCTACTCCATTTTTATGCCACTGGTAAGAAGAACCTAATCTATAACTTAGATCTAAGTAATATGTTACATACTACACTAAACCAGACATGGGTGCTTTCTTCTGCTCTCCTTTATTTCGATTCACATTCTACTTGCTTGCTCCTTTCAGCTACTGCTCTTACTTTTGTTTTCTTCCGTACGCCGTGATTTCTTCCCCCATCTTAATTGAGTTTTGAAATGATATTAAGAATTCTGCTCAGAGAGTTGATTCACTAGGTAGGAGCATATTCTTGATCGTTCTCTCTCTCTCGTTCTCTCTCTCTCTCTCGTTCTTTCTCGTTCTCTCGTTCGTTCTCCCTCGTTCCTTCTACCTCGTTCTCTCTCTCGTTCTCTCTCCCTCGTTAGGTGAGCTCGTTTATCTGTGAAATTCACTGCTAAGATATATTGTGGTTTGTTGTTTTGTTACTTGCTCTGCTTTTTGGGTTCTGTTTCCTGTGTATGTCGCTATTCATTATTTTTTTACCTTAGCACCATTAGGTTGTATTAGGGTTGGTTATTATGATTTTTTCCTCCCCTGCCTTTCTTTCCTTTCCATTTTCACTGCACTTTGATAATTCATTTTTCTCTCCCTTCTTCCTCCTTTCCCTCTCCGTCATGTGAAGAATGAGGAATGAATGAATTAGGAAAGAGGTGGGTACAAGTAGGAAAACCTAGAAGTGTTGTACCCCATATTGTCTACCCCACTACAGCCTACACAGACTATAGCATATAAGTTTGACACACCCCCATAGGCAAAGTGGGGGAGAACAAGAGGTCACAAGACCAGTCAAGCAAAGCAAAGCAAGCTCAGGGTGGATCACAATGTCACCACACAATCCGAGCACAAGAGCAAGGCCAAAAGGCCAGTTCACATGCAAGATCATATATAAAGGTAAACAGGCAAGTGCAGGTATAGAAAGATCACAGTACAAGCAAGGTCAAGAAGTGAGCAAGTGAGGTCAAGTAGGCACAAGACCTAGCATCGTACAGAAGCGCTGATGATCACCAGGCGGAAGTGCCTTGGTAAAGATATCAGCAGTGTTGGCCTCAGAGGCCACGTAAGCAAGGCGCAGCTGACCACGCTGCTACAGCTCACGAGCAAGGAAGTAGCGAAGAGCAATGTGCTTCGTTCTGTGCTCCAGTCTGTGCTCCCGACACAAGGCCAGCATGGCCTTGTTGTCTACGTACAGAACTGGAGGAGAACGAGGCGGCTCTCCTAGGTCAGTCAGCAGGTAGGTGAGCCAGCGTAGCTCCTGTGCAGCCATGGCCCCCGCGTAGATCTCAGCCTCACAGCTGGAGCCGAGAACAGAGGACGAGCGGGTAGACCGCCACGAAACAGAACCGGAGCCAAGGCTGAAGGTGTAACCCTGTGACGACCGCTGCGTAGCCTGGTCGTCAGCCCAAGAAGCGTCTGCGTGACCTGTGAGGATCACTCGACGTCGCCCTCCAAGCACTAGCCCCATGCCCGACGTACTGCACAAGTAGCGCAACACCCTCTTCGCTGCAGCCATGTGCTCTGGTCGGTGTCTCCCAGGAGCAACATAGCGTGCCAAGATGCTAAGAGGGTATGCAAGGTCAGGTCGTGTGCAGGTCATCAGGTACATGAGGCAGCCAACAAGCTCTGGGTACGGGCCACTCGGCTCTACGGACTCATCCGAAGGCAGAGCTGAGAGCGAGTGGCGAGTAGACAGAGGAGTGGCCTGAGGCGAGGAGTACGTGAAGTCGAAGCGCTGAAGGACCTGCTGCACCATGTGTGACTGAGTCAGGGTAATGGTGCGCTGTGCTCTGTCCCGGGTGATCTGCAAGCCAAGGTAGCTGCGCATTTCACCCAGGTCTGTGCACGTGTGTCTCTTCTGCAGCTCGGACTTCACGTGGGCGAGTCCAGCAGTGTCAGCAGTGGCAAAGACCAAGTCGTCGACGTACACGAGGATGTAGAACGGCGGCAGAGAGGTGTCGGTGCGCAGAAACAGCGACGGGTCGGCTGTAGAAGGAGCAAACCCAAGAGCCGCAAGTGTAGTCCTCAGTGTGTCGTGCCACTCACGGGGCGCCTGGCGGAGACCGTAGACTGGCCGCCGGAGGCTCCACTGGGTACCAGGAGGAAACGACCCAGTGAAGCCAGGTGGGCGGCGCAGCCAGATCTCCTCGTGAAGGCTGCCCTGCAGGAAAGCAGTGCTGAAGTCAAGAGAGTGAAGCTCGTAGTCGCGCTGAGCGGCTATGTGTAGCAGCACCCGAAGAGTGGTCATCTTCGGGGTGGGAGAGAAGGTCTGAAAGTAGTCAACTCCCTGCCTCTGACTGAAGCCTCGAGCCACGTAACGCGCCTTGAAGACAGGCGGAGAACCCGGCGGCCGCTTCACCCTGAAAATCCACATGCCACTGACGATGTTCGCCCCAGATGGGGGAACCTCGTCGACGTAGGTGCCTGTGGACTTCCAGGAAGCCATCTCTGCGTCCATGGCTGACTGCCACTGAGAGGAGTAGGGACCCTCGATCGCCTCAGCGTACGATCGAGGAGTCGGGATGTCTGGTGCATCCGGGTCTCCCTCAGGGGCAATCAGCGTGGACACGAGATGAGGCAAAGCAGCCGCAAAACACTGGAACTCCTACTGCCTGTCCTCAAGGACGTCTAGAGGGGCGGCGACGAGGCCGCGAAGGGGCCGTAAGGGGCCTAGAGGGGGCGGCGACGGGGCCGGAAGTGGCGGCGACGGGGCCGCGAAGGGGCCGCGAGGGGCCTAGGGGGGCGACGACGGGGCCGCTAGGAGCGGCGACGGGGCCGTGAAGGGGCCGCGAGGGGCCTATAGGGGCGGCGACGAGGCCGTGAAGGGGCCGCGAGGGGCCTAGAGCGGCGGCGACGAGGCCGTGAAGGGGCCGCGAGGGGCCTAGAGCGGCGGCGACGGGGCCTAGAGCGGCGGCGACGGGGCCGTGAAGGGGCCGCGAGGGGCCTAGAGGGGCGGCGACGGGGTCGCTAAGGACGGCGACGGGGTCGCTAAGGGTGGCGCGAGGGGCCTCTAGGAGGGCGCGACGTGAGGGCGGCCTACGGGGCATGCCTCGGGCAGAAAAAAAATATCGAGTTAGGTGGTGGGCCCTTGAGAAGCGTTCCCACGAGGGAACCTGCTCTATACCATGTGAAGAATGAGGAATGAATGAATTAGGAAAGAGGTGGGTACAAGTAGGAAAACCTAGAAGTGTTGTACCCCATATTGTCTACCCCACTACAGCCTACACAGACTATAGCATATAAGTTTGACACGTCATTCGTTGCCTACTTGGTTTTCCGGATTTCCCAACTGACTTTTGTTCCAGATGTGTATATCTGCCAAGATTACTTGTGAAGTGGGTAGCAGTGGTGACATGTATGATTGTATTTTAATGATTGTATGTTATTGTTTTGATGGAGGGTTTTTGTGTTTGTGTGAATGTGTGTGATCTTGGACAAGTGTTTGTATCTTTGTGTGTGCCGTCGTGCGTGTGTGCCGTGGTTGTGTGCATTGATCCATATTCATTGCAATAACAATGCATGTCTGTGATTTTAAAAAAGAATGCTCAAGTCTATCATTTCACAAAAGGTTCATTGGCGCACTCAGTGAATCGTGTGCGACCACTTCGAACTGGATTTGATAGAGTTGACTTTCTTTTTAGATTTTACAGATTGTGTTGTTTCATGTGACAGTTGATTATTCAAAAGCTAAACTATTGACCTCCCCCCCATGCTAGGCAGGGGATGGCGGTAGCTTAGTTTTTGGGTCATTAACTGTCACGCATTTACATCATATACTGGTATGTGCGCATTTAAGTTCAGAGCACATCAAACATTATGCATATTGAAGCATTATCATCTATGCATAATGCATCTTTATAACTTACACCATTATATTCATCTAAACATCTGATTATATGCATTTCATGATAGTCTCGTGTGAGAATTGAGGAATGAATGACTAGGAAAATGAGTTGGGTACAAATATGAAACCCTAACAAACTGTACCCCATAGTGTCTACCCCACTACAGCCTAAACAGGCTATGTGATTAATGTTTGACACACCCCCATAGGCAAGGTGGGGGAGAACAAGGGGTCACAAGACCAGTCAAGCAAAGCAAAGCAAAGCAAGCTCAGGGTGGATCACAACGTCACCACACATTCCGAGCATAGGTTCAAAGGCCACAAGGCCAGTTCACATGCAAGGTTATATATAAAGGTAAACAAGCAAGTGCAGGTATATATAGATCACAGTACAAATAAAGTCAAGAGGTAAGCAAGTGAGGCCAAGTAGGCACAAGACCTAGC